ACACACACACACACACACACACATCTGTAGTTTGCTCATCCTTTCGATGGAAGTTGCGCGAGGCCAGCCGCGGCCTCGCGCAACTTCCATCGAGAGGATGAGCAAAAATTCTCTCTCTCTCTCTCCCTCTCTCACACACACACATACACACACACACTAACAATCAATCAATCAATCAATTAGTCAATCAATCAAACCCCTTTTCTTAGTTATTTTCAATTTTTGCCTCTGCATTTTTTTTTTTTAATTGGAAATCTGCATTTTTTTTTAAACAGTTCATACCCCTGCAAAATACGCATATTCATTTCTAAAAAAAATACAGGTAAACTCAGGGACCATGTGTCTCATTATAAAAAATGACAAAAAAACATTCCTGCTTTTTTTTTTTTTTTTTAATCAAATTTAGTTTTTAATTTTTAAAAAATCCTAAATGAAGTCGGATTTCAAAAAAACAAATATGGGGTTGTAGGGCTTAAAATTCCCAACAACCCTTTTTTTTTTTTCTTCATATTATTTAATTCAGGAAAAAGCTGGTAAAATCGCGTCCGCGGCTCGGATCCGGTAGGCCGCGGATGTGGCCGTGTATGTGTCCGCCCTCCGAGCTCGACCCCGTGGACGCGTCCGCGGGTGTTACATAGCATACACAAACACACACACACACACTGTGACACACATACACACACCCACGCATGCACACAGACACACACACACACACACACGCACGCACACACGCACACACATACACACACACACACACGCACACACACACACACACAAACTAGCGAATTCATTATTTTTTTTTGTAATCAATCAATCAATCAATCAGTTTGTTTGTCTATCAAAAACAAAAAAAAAACAAGGAAAAAATAAAAGAAACGACTTCGTTTTTTTCTTCATTATATCTTTTTTTTTTTTTTTCGTTTTATATTTGCATATGTAAGGAAAAAAAAAGAATCAAAGAATCATATGCATTATGATTATCCCACTGGCAATCCGAAAAGAAAAAAAAAACATTCTCCCTTTTTTTATTATGTTTCTTTTGATTTTAATACTTTATTTTTTCGTTTTCTATTTTTTAAAAATCATTAAGGACATCAAAAAAACAAAACAAAAATTATGGGGAGGTAGGGTTTTTGAGACCCTACAATACCATATATATATATATATATATATATATATATTGGCCTATTATCCTGGGAATTAAAAATGTCGGGGTTTTCCGACCGCACTTGGTCTCAACGGTTGGTCCCTGCGGGCATGATCATGCCAGAATGCTGCCAAAAAGTTCACGGTCATGACCGCGGGTGATACATAGTCTACTTTGTTATTCTTCTTCTTTGTTTTTTGACCTTTTCTCCTTTTTTTTGTTTTAGGTTATAAACTTTCTTCTTCTTCTTCTTCTCCTGTGTGTGTGTGTTGTGTGTGTGTGTGTGTGTGTGTGTGTGTG